GGGACCTGGGCCCACCCAGGCTCACAACCCAGCACACCATAACAGTGCGGGTCTCCGATGTCAACGACAACGCCCCCGCCTTCACACAAACCTCCTACACCCTGTTTGTCCAGGAGAACAACAGCCCCGCCCTGCACATAGGCACCATCAGCGCCACAGACTCAGACTCAGGCTCCAATGCCCACATCACCTACTCGCTGCTGCCCACCCACGACCCGCAGCTGGCCCTCTCCTCGCTCATCTCCATCAATGCAGACAACGGGCAGCTGTTCGCGCTCAGGGCGCTGGATTATGAGGCCCTGCAGACCTTCGAGTTCCGCGTGGGAGCCACAGACCAAGGCTCGCCTGCGCTCAGCAGTCAGGCTCTGGTGCGCGTGCTCGTGCTGGACGCCAATGACAATGCGCCCTTCGTGCTCTACCCTCTGCAGAACGCGTCTGCTCCCTTCACAGAGCTGCTGCCCAGGGCGGCGGAGCCAGGCTACCTGGTCACCAAGGTGGTGGCTGTGGACCGTGACTCTGGCCAGAATGCCTGGCTGTCCTTCCAGCTGCTCAAGGCCACGGAACCAGGGCTGTTCACCGTGTGGGCTCACAATGGCGAGGTGCGCACCTCCAGGCTGCTGAGTGAGCGCGATGCTCCCAAGCACAGGCTGCTGCTGGTGGTCAAGGACAATGGCGATCCTCCTAGGTCTGCCAATGTCACTCTTCAAGTGCTGGTGGTGGATGGCTTCTCTCAGCCCTCCCTGCCTCTGCCTGAGGTGGCGCCCGACTCAGTGCAGGATGATGATGTGCTCACACTCTATTTAGTCATTGCCTTGGCGTCAGTGTCTTCCCTCTTCCTCTTCTCTGTGCTGCTTTTCGTGGGTGTGAGGCTGTGCAGGAGGGCCAGGGAGACCTCTCTGCGTGATTGCTCTTTGCCTGAGGGACACTTTCCTGGTCACCTGATGGACATCAGTGGCTCGGGGACCCTGTCCCAGAGCTACCAGTATGAGGTGTGTCTGAAAGGTGGTACTGGAACAAATGAGTTTAAATTTCTTAAACCATTATTTCCTAACCTTCAGACTCAGGCGACTGCTGAAGAAAGAGAAAATGCTCCTGTGCGTAACAGCTTTGAATTCTATTAGAGCCGTTAGTTATTTTTAAGTATTTACCTCATTTATCGTTAACTATTCCTGATACAGAGTGCAGTGAATCTTCTTCCTGAAATGTGTGTTTATCTTTTGTTTTGTATTTGTCTATTCAGATTTCATCCTAGTATAGAAAGTTTGATTCTACTCCATCGTGTTTGTTTATATTTCCTTCCTTCTTTCTTTCTTTCTTTTTATTTTTTCGAGTCACGGTTTCTCTGTGTAGCTTTGTAGACCAGGCTGGCCTCAAACTCAGAGTTCCACCTCTTCCTCCCACGTGCTGGGATTAAAGGTGTACGCCACCAGTGCCCAGCTGTTTGTTTATATGTCTATGCCCTACCAATGCATGGATGAGTTTGTATTTTTTGCTCTTTTTTAGAACTGGTATTTACTGTAAGGAATAAGAACTTCTTTTATTGTTAGTGGCAATTTGTTTTGTTATTTGAGATGCAGTCTTACTTTGTAACCCTAGCTGATCTGGAACGTTAAATACACATTGGCCAAAAATTTGTGGTGATCCATCTGCTTGTGTCGTCCTAAGTCAGATTATTAGCATGAACCAACAGGCTCAGCTGTGGTGAAGTTTGCCTTAATAAAGATCAAATACTAGTTGTATTTTCTGTGTATTCTACTTGAATCTAAGTTGAAATTGCAAACTGCTTTAACATCATTTTCTTTATTTAAATCATTGTTGATGGAAGGGTCATAAATGATGTTGCAAACCATATCCAAGAAAACGTGGTTCAATGGAAACACTCTTTCACAGACAGTTGTGGGTTTTTTGTTCAGTCTTCATCCCTGTGGTCAAAGAAATAGTTAAACCTTTAACTCAAAGTATAGCATGACAAAGAAAATCCTTAATGTTCAGCTGAATGTGTTTTTACAAGTTAAGAACACAACATGCCATCAATGCCAGGGAAAAATAAAGCATCACTAACGTCCCAGGTACTACATAAATGATCCTTTACAAGCACTATTGGCCCAAGTATAGCAATCATGATTACTTTCAATTGTATGGTCTTGTGGCTTTGGGGTTTATGTAAGTTCCTTGTAGAGTACCAACTGCTGTGTGTTAATCTTCTTTCACTCTATATTGTGTTCATAAAATGTATACATAATACCACTTTTAATCTTATTTTATTATTATTAACATAAATTATTCTAGTGGAGTATGTCACAAGTTTTTACTGTATTATTAATTTGTCTTAGTGTAATATTTGTCTGTTTTAAATAATAATATGAATATATATATATATATATATATATATATATT